GCTAACATCAGCCTAATAGGCCTGAAATACATTTCAGAACTGTTCACGATACATAAAAAGCATTAAACTAGCCTCCATACTTAGGGGATTTGTTTTTATTTCAGCTTCCCGGCTTCTGAATTATCTCTGCATTTGGGAGTATTTTTTAAAAATAACTAGCAAGTGATTATTTAATTTGTGTGGATCATGCATAATAAGCTCTTGTACTTCACAAACCAGAGTGTCTGCCTTAGTTGTGTCTGCCTTGGTCGAGGTGTCTTCCTTATAGGCAGAATACATGCTCCCTCTGAAAACATGCTGTTCTCTTATACTTTTCTTATTAACAGAAAAATATAGCTAAGGATATTTTACCCATGCTAAAATATTCTCATTTTAACCAATTCTTTGAGTCCAACAAAGGTCCCTGTCTTTTCTGTGGCCTTAGCCCCTTTAGAATTCTCCCCTCCCCAAATACTCCTTAACTTTGTTATCTTTAAACTACTGCACACAGTTCTGTGACCTTTAATATTTCGTGAACGCTTTCCCTTCATCTAAATTGTAAGCTGCAAAGGCAACTCACATACTCTATGCATTGTTTTATAACCTCCAGCAGAATCAACCAAACTATTAGCAAAGGATATCCAGGAAAACTTGACTGGAATCTCTTAGCATCTAGACAAGGTCAGAACAACTTCCTGAACTCTGGCTGAAAAGGAACATATTTGATGTTCTAGGAACTGTTGACCTTCAAGGACATATCTGTGGACTTCACCCAGGAGGAGTGGGGGCAGCTGGGCCCTGCTCACCGAAATCTGTACCGGGAGGTGATGCTGGAGAACTATGGGAACCTGGTCTCAGTGGGTAAGGATGGGTTCCCCTTCAAAATAGAACCTGTCTATTGGAAGAAAATCTTTGTTTCTAAATTAAGTGTTTTGCTTGGGCTTTGGGTTCTATATTAGAGGTTTCTAATTGCTTCTGAACACCAAATCAGGATTGCTGTGGTCTTTTCTGTCCTGGTCTTTCTACTCAACTTTCTTCAGAAGACCTGAATAACAAAGGACCATTTTTAAATTCTTGGGATGACTCTTTGACCTCAGCACGTACAGTCTTTTCTTCCCCATAAGCAGGATATCAGCTTTCCAAACCTGGTGTGATTTCCCAGTTGGAGAAAGGAGAAGAACCATGGCTGATGGAGAGAGAGATTTCAGGATGTCCAGGTTCAGGTAAGAGCAGGGCAGATGGGGCATTTGTGACACCGGCCAGAGAATTCCCCTCAAAGCCTTCTCCAAGTGGCGGAGAAGGCCAAAGCCATCTGGATAGGACACACAAGAAAGCTGATTCTACCATTTCTGTCACTCCTTTCCTGAACCTGCATCTTGGAAAAGAGACACCTTTCTCATCAGGGTTAACATTCTTCACTATTTCTCTTGATCTGACTTTCGTAATTTTTACCTCTTTCTCCAGTATTCCAAACCTTGCTGTGATCACAGTTTCTTTCCTATCTTTAATACACTTAGATGTATGTAAATCTCTTCTCATTAAACACAGTCCACTTCACTGGATTCTCATGTCATTTTATCATTGGTTTCACTGTCTCAGTTATTTCATTTTCAATTTTTAAAAAACACTTATTCTGTGATCACAGCTTCAATTCTTATTCTCTTTTTAACTTGTGTAATTTAATTTTTCATGCCAGATAATTTATGGCTTTTTGAGAAATCACCACACAATTCCTTCTTACCAAATCCAATGGCTTTTAGCAGTCTTCTTCAATGTGTACAGTAACAATGTGAACAGTAACAATGATAGGTATTTGCCAAGTGGGTAAATACCTCTCTGTGAGTCCTACATTAGCCCCATCTTACAAATGAGGAGGAGGAGGCTGGTTAAGAAATGTATACAGTGAAATTACCTAGTACTTGGTGGAGTCAGTATTTTACTTCTAATCATTCTGACTCCACAGTTTGTGTGTTCTTATGATGCTATTCTACATGGCAGCATTAAGTTATACAGACCTTGTCACCTTAATATCCTTTCCTCCATTAGCTAGTTTAATAATTTTTGTTTCCTCTGTCTCTTACTGCTTTTTCAGGGCTTCTCTTCAATGTCTTTTTTAATGTGGATATATTAATATAATTTCTGCCTTTGTTAGGATTGGCTAAACTACTGTAACAAATAGACTCCAAAATTTTGTGACAGATTTTGAGCCATAAATTATCTCAAACAGAATATGAACTTATTTCTTGCTCATATACTGGTCTGGAGAAATTGTTTAGGTCAGTTGGCAGTTATTCTCCATCTGGAGAATTCAGGACCGAGGTTCCTGCCTCGTTGTGGCTCCATCATCCCCTAGGGGGCCTCCTCATCATCTCCATTTAGCCAGCAAAGAGTCAGAGCACGAAGGAGCTCATTTGGGAGGTTTTATGAGCCAGCCTGGAGTGGCTCACATCATTTTCACTCTCATTTACTTCACAGGGGAATCCTTTGTTATGTCACTCAATCTAATTTAAGGAAGATTGGGAAATATAATCTAGTTGTATGTCTAAAAGTGGGGAGAACAGATTTCACAATCCCTAAGAAACCTCTGTGTTTTACACTGCTATTCTGTTTCTACACAAACTCCTACAAGTACTTTGCGATGGTTTCAACTATCCTTTCCATATCTATGTTCTCCAGATTTTCATCTTTGTCTTATGTGTCTATATGAACTCTATTCCTGCATATCCCTGGCATTCATGTCATCTCTATATAGAAGTACTGTTGTCACTTCAAACCCAGTATATCCGAAACCAGAAACCATCTTCTCACCTAAGCAAGTTTCTCATCCTAACTTCCAGTGTTCTTTCAGTCCCTAGAAATGATATCAGCAAGAATATCATGTTTTCTACTCTGTTTTTTCCTCATTCTCATGGTATCTTCCTTGATATTACCTATTAGATCTGCTTCTCTTCTACTTGTGTTGATACAATGCTAAGTGAAGTTTCCATCACTTCTTGCCTGAATTACTAAAATTTCTAGTTGCGTTGTTGATGTCTTACTGTCTTTTTCTCACTCATCTTGAATGTTACTGCCTGATTTGACCATTTAAAATATCACATTTATCTTGTTATTATCCTAAACAGAAAAGTGAACTGACTCCCCTTTCCCTGTATTAAGTAACCTGAACATCTCTGCTTGCTTTTAAAGCCCACTCCAAAATTTATCCAGCTATTTCTGAATACTTTTTATGTGTTGTTACTGAAGTGAGGTTAGTAAATGTATACACTCACATATACATCTTGCTGGGAAATGTCTGAATGTGTACTTTCCAAAATCCTAGGGAATGAGATTTTTTTGTGAATAGGAAACATTGGTGCTTTAGGATGGCAGGGTCCAAAACGGATGTATGGGAATGGAAAGAATATCAGGGAAAAATTCCTTCATCCAAAAATGTTATGCCAGGTATACTATGGGTAAAATATATATTCTCTGTCCTTAAAGATTTTAAAAAGTAGTTAATATTTTGTCACAAATTGAGGAAAACCATTTTCCACATCTTATATGGGCAAAAGTTATGAAGGTTAATCAAATCTATTGAGTATGCAGGGAAAGGCACCTACATTTGCTGAGTGTACACATGCACAACCCAACACTTTCTCTAGTAAACCTAATGAAATACTGACAGGAGTATACAAGCATGTGTGTATAATTATATATAATAGATTGTGGTTTAATTTGTAATAGTGAAAAGTTGGAGACAAAGTAAATATTTTTCCATAGGGAAAAGTGAAATTATGATATGTCCATATAGTAGAACACAATTAGGTTGTTAGAATGAGGTAATCTCAAATGTACAGATATAGAAAGAGGCCCGTAAGATATACAAAACAAAACAGATGCAGAACTATATGTATACCCTGATCCCTTTTTTGTACAAATGTATATTTAAGATCATATATACATAAATACATACATTCACATATACATTTTGTTGGGAAATGTCTGAATGGATACATTCCCAAACTGTCAGAGACTGGAGGGAATCTCATCCCAGATAGTAAGATGCCGTTCTTTTTTAATTGTTGCATTCTTGCATTACTTAATGTTTTATTTTGATGTTTACAAAGTATTTGATATAAATACTTTTTAAAAATATTTGTTTTCTTAAGTAAAGAAAATTCTGTCATAGAAATAAGGGCTTAAGATGATATGGTCTTAGAATCCTATCTTCCTTATTCTTATCTTTTGATATTTGCTCTTATTCTCCTTAGTTTATTTCCTCTTGCAATTCACATGGATGAGCTCCTCCCAATTTCTTAAAGACACCTTACATACTTTCAGTATCTTTTTTCCTCTGACCACTTCTTCACTTGCTTTCATATCAGCTCTCTAGGTGGCAGGATCACATTGAAAGACCATCCAAACCTCCTGTACCTAGTTTATATTATTTTTTTCCTCTCATTCTTATTGTGGTGATTTATTTTTTAAAGTGCAGTGAATATGGGTCATTTTTATTTTTGGATTTCTTTTAGACTTGGAGAGTAAAACAGAAACCAATGAGTCAACCTTAAAGAATGACATCTCATGGGAAGAATTACACCAGGGTCTGATGATGGAAAGGTCTACTAGAGGAAGCACCTTGTATTCCACGTTGGGAAGAGTCTCCAAATGTGATAATTTAGAAAGCCAGCCAGAAAACCAAGAAATGGGTGAGGGGCAAATCTCCTTGATCTGCAAGAAAATGCTTGCTCAGGAGAGAGGCCAACAATCTAACAGATGTGAGAAAAGAATTAATGTGAATTCAAAAGTTATGCCAGGACCAGTAAATCTTTCAAGAAAACAAGACCATAAATATGACACATCTGGAAAAAGAAGCAGATACAATTTAGATTTAATTAATAATTCAAGGAGTTATACGAAGATGAAAACTTTTGAATGTAATATTTGTGAAAAAATCTTCAAACAGCTGATTCACCTTACTGAACACATGAGAATTCACACTGGAGAGAAACCTTTCAGATGTAAGGAATGTGGAAAAGCCTTTAGCCAAAGTTCATCCCTTATTCCACATCAGAGAATCCATACTGGTGAGAAACCCTATGAATGTAAGGAATGTGGAAAAACCTTCAGACATCCTTCATCCCTTACTCAACATGTTAGAATTCATACTGGGGAGAAGCCCTATGAATGTGGAGTATGTGAGAAAGCCTTCAGCCAGAGCATTGGACTGATCCAGCATCTGAGAACTCATGTTAGAGAGAAACCTTTTACATGCAAAGACTGTGGAAAAGCATTTTTCCAGATTAGACACCTTAGGCAGCATGAGATTATTCATACGGGTGTGAAACCCTATATTTGTAATGTATGCAGTAAAACCTTCAGCCACAGCACATACCTAACCCAACACCAGAGAATTCATACAGGAGAAAGACCATATAAATGTAAGGAATGTGGGAAAGCCTTTAGCCAGAGAATACATCTTTCTATCCATCAGAGAGTCCATACTGGAGTGAAACCTTATGAATGCAGTCATTGTGGGAAAGCCTTTAGGCATGATTCATCCTTTGCTAAACATCAGAGAATTCATACTGGAGAAAAACCTTATGATTGTAATGAATGTGGAAAAGCCTTCAGCTGTAGTTCATCACTTATTAGACACTGCAAAACACATTTAAGAAATACCTTCAGCAATGGTATGTGAAATATACTCAACAGCAAAGACTATATTGGAGCCAAAGTCTCTAAATCATGGGTTCCCTGACTTTTGGATTTCAGGAATCAATAATTTTTAAAAACGGTTTGGCACAATATTACCAACTTAATTTTTCCATATTAAAAAACAATC